TGCTTCTTCCTCTTCCAAGTCCACCATCTCTCTCTCCTCCTCTTTTTTTCTCCTCCTTTATCTTCTTCTTCAGTTACGAGAGTGAGAGAGGTTACTAGCAGGGGATACAGGCAGAGGTCACAGTCGGCGTGTTGCCCAGGATCTGATTGGACATTTCTGAGGCAGGCATTGATTGGACATCGGCAAGGGGCTATTTTCGGACTTCGCTATTGCGATCTTGGTCTTCTCCCTCGCCTGCATCTTCGTCCGTCCTCTCCCCCATCTCTCATCTATGGTATCTCCCCATGTGTGTGTACAAGGAGGGACCTTTCTTCTTCGTGTGCGGCCCCTCCTCCTCCTCTCACATGGGTGATGTATGATGGATGTCGTGTTAGTCCCGGTCAGGTCAGGACTTATCTCAAAGTCTTCCACTGCGCTATTATGTGCCATTTTGTATGTATCAGGATGTACACTGCTTGTTGAGATTCCACTAACACTGCATTGTCCATTCAGTCCTTTTCATCACCTTGCGGATCCTTGGCTGTACATACATTGCCTCTTGCACAAATCAAAGGTTATATATGATCCAACACACCGCTCGACACAACCATTACATTGCAGAGCAGTTTCTATATGTGCTGTTGGTCTATATGAATACGTGTTGTTCTTGTGTGTTGGCATATGTACCCTTGTGTGTAATCTTTTGTCTAAGTAGCAGAGCGGGATATCCGGGCTCCCTGGGTTTATTTCGGTCTGCAGGCCTAAAACTGCTAGTCGGATAAAACCGGAATCCAATGAAGTTTATCCGGGCGGGGGGAAAAATAGGGTGTTTTTCCAAAATAGAAAACTTTCTCTCGAGGGCAATGTTCGACGAGGCGAACCACATAGCAGAGCAGTCCCCTGCGCCAGGGAACACAAGTAGCCTGGGAACTAGGACCACCTATGGAGATCGAGGTAAGTAGCTAACAAACCTGCTCTATACCGAGTAGATGGAGATCGGGGTAAGTAACGGAGCTTAAATTCACTACCGAAAGCTAAGCGAACCTACCGTTATGGGTCTATACCTACCTCTTTCTGCTCAGTACGGGAGCAGTACCCAAGCTCCAACACCTGGCATAGACTGGAACAAAGAATTTTCCATAACGAGCCAGGAGGCCCAAGCCGACAATCTCTACTGGTGAACCCGAAGTATACCCCCAGGAGCCGTGGGAAACGAAAGGACGTCGTTGGGAATCTGCAATCAGACTTGTCTTCTTCCTTATCCAGCATGCACAAAAACAGATGGCAATCACCCTGCCGCCAGGCGCCCACGCAAAACTCAGAGATATCACGGACAAGAACACGGTTCAGATTCAGATTACTTCAAAAATGGCTATGGCGCCTGTGCGTCCTCACATCAACCCTTCCGATACTGTATCCTCAACAACTGTTCACATGCACGCTACTCTGGTTCTCCCTGGATGTCCCACACACGCGCACACCCTTCACCTCACTCACTCATCAACACGCTGTAATCTATCTCTAACCTACAGCAGCTATGGCTGCGTTCTACCTCTACCACTAACTAGCGGCTATGGCCGCTTCGTCTCCTTTTCAGCCCACTTCTTCCTCGGGCACCTGCAGACCTCCTCGCACAAGTCGCTTAGGCAGCGCTTCCGCACAGCTCACAGTCTGAATGAATGAATAACTCGACGGTGCCTCTTGATTTATACTTCGGCTGGTCGCTGGTCTGCTCCTTTCCACCGGGCCTAGGGTGCACACAGTCCCACATGGTACTTGCTGACTGGACAAAGTGCGACTGGGACTGGGTACCGCTGGCTAGACGAGGTTGGGCTGCCCACTTGCCCACTTGCCTCTGGCCTGACTCTGGCGACTCTCAAAAGGCCACTTCCGGACCTTCCGGAAGTCTGTAGACTTGGCCTTTCGGGACTGTACCAGCTACGACCTTAACCTTTCAGGACTGTAGCAGCTACGGCTTCTACACAGCTACGACGCCTACTTGACAGACCTACGGTTCAAAACTCGACAACTACACAGACCGACGACAGACAACAGCTAACTACCAAGTCACAGGTCATGAGTTCAAACTCACAGGAGTCGACTTGGCACTGTACACGTGCGAGGACAAGGTCTAGGGATCGAGCCCTGGGATCTGCATCTGCTACTGCAAAGGTGAAAACCGTTTCGGAATCAAAACCGCGACCTCCTGAGTGCCACTTACGTGCTCAACCAACAGATCTTGTTTCGTTCAAAGATAAAATGTCCATTTTGACGAATCTGCTGTTCTTCTCGACCGGACCTCCAATCCGAGACCAGATGCGCACAGCGGACACAGGCCAAACACGTCCGCCGCTGCTATCGTATCAAGTACTATCAACTATATATAGCATGCGGTACTATGCCGTACTATGGTATCTACTATTTAGTATGCGGTACTATGCGGAGTACTATGTGGAGAGCCGCTGGAACAGCAGTGGAAGTTGAGGAGGAGAGGCAGAAGACCTGTAGCAGTGATTCTTTTTTTTTTTTTTTTTTTTTTTTTTTTTTTTTTTTATTCGGACCATTTCTCGATTTATGCTTGTCATTCTTGCTCAGGGGCCATGCTAATCTTCTCTGTATTGTTCCAATTTTTAACGAATGTCTCGAAGGACATTTTTTCTTTTTTTTCTCTTCTTTTTTTGTTTCTGGAAAACAAAATCAGATGAGATTTTGCCCTTTTGCTCCGCACGTGATTTCTGTTCTCCTTGAGGCAATCTTTTGGATATCTGCGTTTAACTTATCATCTGTGCCTTTTTCGTTTCTGGATGCCATCTGTATTTAGATTACCTTATCTGTTTAATACAGACTGCATCATTTCTGTTAAATATAGACAGAGTTGCCTTTGAGTCGGACTCCGCGTTATCATGTCTGTTGCTGTTCTCTCTTCTGAAATTCTGCATCCTTTCGATCTTCTGCAGAGTTGCTGGAGCTGCGGCAAAAATTTGAGGAGGACAGGCGGAAGATTGCAAAGTTGAAGGCCGCCCGAAGGTTCAAACCTTATTAGGAAAGGGCTCAAAACTCTGGATGAGTCTGATGAGAGGAGTTTTTCCCTCAAGTAGACAAGAGGATAAGGTGTGACGTTGTTGGCCAGCACGTACTCGACAGATTCTTTCTGGTTGGTTATGAGATTTGCTGCTTCCTGCTATTGGGGGGGATTGCATGGGCTGGTGGGGTGTAGATTGTTTCTGGTTGCTTTATGAGATTCGCTGCTGCTCGTAATTGGAGGATTGCATGCGCCGTGGGGAGGACCCGGAGGCTGTTCGTAGGCGACCCTTGATGACAGGGTGCCTGCTGATGATCAAGCAAAGATTTTGACTCAATGACATTCAGTGTAATTGGTGGTTGCTATAAGTTGAGATCCCACAAGGATTTTGTACATCTTCGAGTTATTTTTCAAGCTGAGCCTCCTGCTACTAGGCTGCTAGTGTGGTGTATGAGGCAGAAAGCTGTCACTTGTCAGAGTCACATTCTTACCCTGAGACTGTGAACATCTTAGGTAGAGTTGTGTGCTTAACAGCCATCCAGCACCTGCTCGCGCTTGTGTGTGTGCGTGTGTGTGTG